AGTATCGCGGGTCCCCCTCTTGTCTCCACTATTGGCAGATTCTGATCTAGAAATAACCTTCTCTGTTGCAAAATACCTGACAGTAGTGATCTCTCTTAAATACTGAAGAAATGTGCCTGTGTTAGCTATAAATGAAATGATGGCCTAGTCTGAAGATTTTAGCATAAAGTTTTACTCATATCATTTTTCTATATTTTTCATGCTAGCATATTTATCCTATAGGGATTAGGAAGAGGCACGAACTGAATTATGAACCAAATTCATGCGATCACGCTGTTTGCGAACCACTCATGAACTGCCATGGTTTTTGCAGCGGTTTGCTTGGTTCATAAGGGGGTTTGTGGCAGCATGACAAGAGTGAGCTCAGAAGGCATTTAAATGCCTTCTGACAGCTCACTCACATAATGCCGCCACAGGGGCACAACTTGCACAAGTCTATTAGATGCAGCCAGTTCAGCAATGCCTTTGCTCCCACCCCACCCCGGCTTGGAAGCTGCACAAACCTCATGAACCCAGACCAGTTTGTTAATTGGAAAGGTTTGTTGAAGTTTGCGAACCATGGCTCGTGAGACCCCACAAACCATCACGAACCTCCTTTCTCCTGGTTAGTGCCCATCCCTAATTGGGGTATTTTATCTTCTATTTTAATATGTATCTGAAGTCTCCTATTTTGTGATATTTGTAATCTCATGACAGTTCTTGATGATTATATAATGTATCTTTGGATCTGTTTTAATTGTTTTATGCAATATTTTATGTTATAATTTTGCTGTGGTTTAAGCTTGAGACCTTTGGTCAAGTGAGCTAATAACTAAAAGGAAAGGGATGGATGTAGAAGGGCTCCCATCTTATTTTTTACTTATAAGGGCTGTAAGACACCAGTTTGGTGTAGTGGTTAAGTGTGCGGACTCTAATCTGGGGGAACCGGGTTTGATTCCCCACTCCTCCACTTGCACCTGCTGGATGACCTTGGGCAAGCCATAGTTCTGATAAGAGCTGTCCTTGAAAAAGAACAGTTTCTGTCAGAACTCTCTCAGCCCCACCTACCTCACAGGGTGTCTGTTGTGGGGAGGGGAAGGGAAAGGAGTTTGTAAGTCACTCTGAGACACCTTTGGGTAGTGAAGGGTGGGGTATAAATCCAATCTCTTCTACTTCTCTTCTAAATAGAAATATGCTTTTTTCCAGCTGTTCATTACAGCCCATGGGGAGTGACAGCAAGCTGTGTAAAAAACAGGAGCTTTGCTGAAGATTTCCCTATTCAGTGTGTCTTTGGCAAATGCAACTTTTCTTGTCTGTGTGTGTCCAGCTTTTAATTGGCAGAAGTCTGAAATCTGTTCCACTCCAGATTTTTGTGTTGACTAAGTCATAGAGTTTTTTGTGCGTGACCATAGAACAGCTGCTGTTGTTGATGATTTGTTGCCAGGGTTAGTCCAAGGCCAATCAATCTTTGGCAGCTATACATATCTCCAGGCAATAACTGAACTCCTCAGTAAATGATGCTAGCAACTTGTCACTATTGCCCCAGCAAATGTTCAGATAATCCCTTGAGAAACACTTTGAACATGGCAAGAAGCATCCATATCCTTCATGAGAACCTACAGTTCACACAGGAGAGAGAGACACACACCTCTTCTGAGAAGATAAGAGTGCATAATCTGTATCATTTTGAGGCTGTAATAAGGAATTATTACAGTACAGCTACAGTATGGGATAAAAGCAGAAAACTGAAAGCAACAATGAAACTCAAGCTCACATGTAGCTGCCATCAGAATTAATAATCCACAAAATGTCCAATCAGGTCACCAATACACAGTTAACTAAAGCCTTCTGAAATGACACTGTTCTGTCCTGCTGTCTAAACACCATCAAGAACAGACCAAGGAGAGCTTCTGGAGAGGGTGTTCCAAAACGAGTGTTGCCACTTTAAACACCTTGTCCTGAATAACCCAACTACCAATGACAGAGTAGAGGAGGCCAGGTGATCAGACTGTGTGGATGTGTTCATATGGGAGAAAATGTACATTTAATATAGGCGTAGCAAAATAAGTATTGAAACCCCCTCCCCACAGTGAACAAGGTTCAAAGCCTCCCCCCTAAAGGACAGATAATTGGTTTAACTTTAGCTGCAGTTTAAGATGAGCATATCCACTGAGGGGAAACTGGAAGAGCTCAAGGAGAGGAAGAGACACAACATATGAGAGCAGTAATAGTGAAGTGTGTTGGCTAGTTCCTTGCCAGCATTTTGTGATAAAATGTGAAGAAAGGCCAGCACAGATGGTTATAGGAAAAAATACCTCAAAGCAACTCCTAAGAAGAACCATTGTACATGTCTGTTACCAGATTCCTAGCTTTATAATACAGGTGACTGGAAATAAGTGGAAATGGAGATGTAGACAGAATACACCTGGCTGATAAGTAGAAGCCTGGAGTACTGTGTCCAGTTTTGGGCACCACATTTTAGGAAGGATGTTGACAAGCTCGAGCGTGTCCAGAAGAGGGCAACCACGATGGTGAGAGGGTTTGAATCCAAGTCTTATGAGGAAAGGCTGAAAGAGTTGGGTATGTTTAGCCTGGGAAGGAGAAGGCTTAGGGGGGACATGATTGCAGTCTTCAAGTATTTGAAGGGCTGTCATGTAGAAGATGGAGCAGATCTATTCTCTCTTGCTCCAGACTGCAAGACTAGATCTAATGGGTGGAAATTACAAGGGCGTCGTTACCGGCTAAATATCAGGAAAAACTTCCTAACTGTAAGAGTGGTTGAGCAGTGGAACAGTCTGCCTCGGGAGGTGGTGGATGCTCCTTCGCTGGACGTTTTCAAGCGGAGGCTGGACGACCATCTTTCGGGTATGTTGTAGGGCTATCTTTCGGCTATGCTCCTGCAAAGTGCAGGGGGTCGGACTAGATGACCTGCAAGGTCCCTTCCAACTCTTAACATTCTATGATTCCATGATTCTAAGCTAGGGGCAGTTGTAAGTGGTAGTTCGGATTTTTGTGCTTTTACTCCTGATTAGCCAGAAGCACTGTAGGCCAAAACATCTCTAAAAGTTGTGATGAATCAATACTGAGACTCTCTGACCCCTTTAAAACTGTATGGAAGTGGCCCACTTTCTTTTCTGAAGGAACTCATTCGCTTTATAAGACAACTTTCTGGATTACTACAGGACATGTAGAGCACTGAAATTTTTAGAAAGGGCAACGTTATCAGGAGCTGCCATAGGTGACTGATTTGGAGGTGATTTTTGTATCTCCCCCCAGCTGATTCTTTTGACTTTTAAAATTCATATATGGCTTCTACCTGACAGGCTCTTTTATTAAATGTAAGTGTTCTAAGGCAAGTTAGTCTTCTTTCCATTCATCGGTCATTGGAGAATGTTTTAACTTTGCATTCAAAAGAGCTGTTGCTTGCAGCTGTTGGATAATTCAGTTCCAAGTTTGCATTGTTTTCTGGACCAGCATAGCCAAACTCATATGAACATTGAAAGATCACTGGTTATCTTTAGAAAAACACACTAAACCTCTGCCATTTTGAGAGCCAGTGTAGCATAGTGATAATTGTTGCAATTGGTTGTGGAGACCCAGGTTAAAATCTCTGCCTGACATAAAACTTTTTATTTATTTATTTCTTGGATTTCTATCTCAGCCTCCCCTGTACAACAGGTCTCAGGGCAGGTAGCAACAGTATCCATAGTACTATATCTATAAAATAAATTAAAAACAATTTTTATCATGAAAATAACACTGACAGATGGCACCTAAAAAGAGCACAGCCTGGTGCACCCTATCCAGGGAGGAGAGTAGAATATCTTAACCACTAATCACATGGAGGAATAACAGATGGGGGGGGGGGGGAGGAGGGGAAGAAGAAGCCAATCTAGGATGGCGACTGTCACTGTCTCACTCTGGTGGAATATCTCTGTTTTGCAGGCCCTGTGGAACTGCACTAGATCCCACAGGGCCTGGGTCTCACTCAGCAGGTCATTCCACCGGGTTGGAGCCAGGGTTGAGAAGGCTCTGGTTCTGGTTGAGGACAGCCAGTGTGTGACTACTGTGTGACCTTGGGCCAGTTACCCTTTGCTAACCTAATATACCTCTGTGGTGGTTGTGGGGACAAAATGGAAGAGGGGAGAAACATCTATACTGTCCTGAGCTTTTTTGGGAGGGGGAAGTGCACTAATAACACAACTTGACGGCATACTACTTGGTGAATTACTAAGCTTTTTATGTTTCTTTGCCGAGTTCTGTGATGTAATGTAATTCTGGAGTGCTTATCAAACATCTTGAGGGATCTTGGGTGGCATGTTCTAATTTATTTGTTCTTTCACAGTCCAGGTTTCAGCCGTAGAAGTCTACACACCACAGGAGCTCTCTGTGGAGAATGGGACAAAGGCAAAACTGGTGTGCACATTTACATCTACAGAGGTGATCAGCAGTGCAGCTTCTGTTACTTGGAGCTTTCAAGCAGAGGGAGCACCTTCTGCTGTATCGGTAAGAGGTGATCTTTAAAGTAAGGCTAGATGTAAGTACAGGTCCAAAAAAAGTGAAGGTATTACTTTAAGCACATGGCACTTGTCTGTTCTTGCCTATCTTTGTCACTGGTAAGAATGTGCATTTTACTGCTGTTTGTCTTGGACTGAAATTTTGATAATTTCTGAAAGATGCCTTTTGTTTTATGCTGTAAAATCTCTGCTGGCAAAATTCTTGTTTAGGAGATGATGATTTATTTAAACCCATATTAGTATAGGTTCTGTCACTGGAGTGTGTAAATAGGACCATTGTGATGATGGTAGTAAGAGTGCAGCAAAGTACTTGTTGGTGGGTGATCTCATCCTGGCAACTTGCATCTATGCCTAGATTTTGTGCTACTCTAAAGTAGATGCTCTCTTGTTTTCAAGGGGCTAGACATTTTTCCAGTATACTGGAATACAAATTCCATGCACTATGTAGTTGGATATCAGATTCAATAGAAGTAATGCAGGTGAGAAAAATACATTCATATTGCATTTTTTGTCTTACAGTTCTTCTATTATTCCAATGGAAAGGCATATCCTGGGAAAGATGCGCCATTTAAGGACAGAATCAGCTGGTCTGGAGATCTTAACAAGAAAGATGCATCCATCAGTATAGCAGACATGCGGTTTCAGGACAATGGCACTTACGTCTGTGATGTGAAGAACCCTCCAGATATAGTTGTCACTCCGGGAGAAATCAAACTGAGAGTTGTGGAGAGAGGTATTAGTGTCTCTAGCTAAGAATGTGCTGGTAATGAAATGCCATACTTAATGGAATTATTCTACCATGTGATGAAATATTTCATGGAAGTTGGTTTGCTTAAAACCAAGTGTGTGTTTTGGCTGAGTACTACTGCATTTCATTAATTGTAGCTTCATTTTTTTTGTCAAAAAGCAAGTGAAATAAAACCTCAGTAGTGAACAGCTTAATGCTGATGAACGAATCCAAGCCTGTGTGAAGGGAATTCCATAGTTGTGGAGTGGTCATTTCTTTGTACAAATGAGACTTAAAAATAGAAGTGAAATGGATGCCATCATAATCTTCTACAAGATCATCCATTGACATGAGTATTGTATTACTTCACACCAATATTGTATTACTTCACACCAACATCCTGACCAACTATATTGATCTTCGTCATGGTCTCTGTGCATTACACCCATGGGAACTCAGTGTGCCTGGGCTGATCCGATCGGTGTTGTGCAAAGCTCTAAAGGAATTTTTGCGCCTCCACCCCAGGCATGCACGGAAACCCCACCGCACATGCTCAGAGGCTGGGGCACGGACATCCCGCCAGTTCTCTTCTGACCGCCATGCTGTGAACAGTTCGTTTACCATTCGGTGGGATTTACCTCAGCTCTTTGGGATTTCTTATCTTCGTCTTTTCCCTCAATACCCTTTTTTCTTCTCTGTTATTTTATTTTTCTAAAAAAAAAAGAAAGGATTTTTTCGCTTCTTCGCCTCTGGCCATTTCCCCTCTTGTTTTATCTCAGTGCCCCACCCCCTTCTTTTTGTTTAGCCGCCTGTTTATGGCTAAGAAGTGGGTTTTTTTTCAAGAGGTGCTCTAACTGCGGTAGCAAATTAGCTCTGCCAGACGGCCAAACTCTCTGTATCCTCTGCCTTCGTGAGGCCCATCGACCAGACATTTGCCTGCATTGCACGAGGTTTTCAAATCAAACTCGAAAAAACCCAGTGGCCTGTCTGCGTGTGGCCCTTTTAGAGTCGGCTCTTGCCCCTTCCACCATGTCCTCCAAGACCTTCCACGTTGACAGCCCTGGCTCCATCGAAATCGGCCTCTGATATCGGTCCGTCGGCCTTGAAGTGATCGATCCCGATCCCTCAGCTTCTACTCCTGAAAAGAAAAAGAAGGACAAATCGGACAAGGGTCATAAGAGCTCAGCTAAGGGTACCCACAAATCCTTTAAATCGAGCACTGCCACCGACGCCATAGGCCTGCAAGGGCAACCCAAGGTCTGCAAGGGCAACCCATCAATTTGGGGGCTCCAGTCATGGATTTGCCGATGATTCTGCCTATACCACCTATAGAACTTTTGGACTCTCCAATTTGGTAGTTGAACCCCCCAACGCTGGAACCCCTTTCCAAAACTCAACCCTTTTTGATATTGGCCTATGATATTGATGAGGTCCTAGTTAGGTCTTTGCCTTGGAGGGCTCAGTCACCTTCGAGATCTTCTATCGCAACTGACCATTCCCGGTCCCAGGTCAACACTGAGCCTCCTTGACATCGTTGGTATCGATCACCTGGTGACACCGATTGTCATTACGCATACTCAGCTGACGCGCCGCAACACCGTGAGGGTAACCGCGGAGAGATTCCTAGACACTGGAGAGATCCCCCAGGCATTTCCACCCTTCTGCCCCACCAGTGTTTCCGTGGGACCACCATCAGCTTCAGTTTATGTAGCATTTCCACTTTCTTCCTCCATGCCATGGCTGACTCCAGCAAGACCGTCCGATTGGGATCGGCTGTCTACCCGCCGCTCATGCTTCCCTTGAGTGCCTCGCAGAGCTCCATCTGCTTTGATGTCAAAGCCGCTGGAACCTCCTCGCAACCTCTCTCCCCGGCGCCGATCACCTGAACAGTCTGTATCAAAGCACTTGGCGCTGACACTGCCTCTACCTGCTCATGTAACAACAGAGGTGCCTCTGCGGCTGCCTCTGGTATCGATCCTGGTGTCCGCCGCTTCCGACTCCTCGGGTGAGGACTCCCAACGCCAGTGCTTCGGATGTCTGCAGCTCTCCAGATGATCCTTCTTCCAAGCCTGCAGTCCCTGACGATCTGCCAGTCTCCCCTTCTGAGGATTTGACATCCTATGGAGATTTGATCAGGCGCATGGCCCACTCTTCAGGCCTTTCTGTGATTCAACCTCAACCCTCGGTTTCTCATGCGGTGTTTGATGTGGTCCAGCTGGACACCTCCACCACTATTGCTCTCCCTATTCTGTCCTACTTCAGGCTGCCAAGGCTCTCTGGGACAAACCTTCCTCTGTGCCAGTCTCATCTCGCCACCTTGACCATATGTATAAAGTTCAGGAGCCAGGCTCTGAATTTCTTTTCAACCACCCCAAGCCAAACTCTATGGTCGTCACCTCGGCTTCAAAGTCTAAACAGACCTATTCTATCCCATCAGACAAGGAAAGCAGGAAATTAGAGTCCTTCAGGAGACGCTTCTACTCAGCAGGTGCACTGGGTATTAAAACCACTAATTACATTGCATGCATGAGTTGCTATCAATATGCTCTGTGGGAGCAACTTAGTGAGGTCTTCACTTCTCTACCCGAGGACAAGCGTCAACTGGTCTGCAAGATTCAAAAAGAGGGTTGAGTCCTGGCTAAACAGCAGATAAATTCATCAAAGCATGCCCTGGACAACTTTTCTAAGACAGTGACATCAGCCATTGTCTTACGTGGATATTCCTGATTGCGCACTACAACTCTCCAATCCGATACTAGGGCATGCATTGAGGATCTTCTGTTTGACAGACAAGGACTCTTCCATGCCACTACAGATTCTGTACTGCAGGATATGGATAAGAGCATCAAGGCTTCTTGTACTTTGGGAGTTGCTCCATCGTCTAGGCCCTATAAATCCCAGTCATGGTCCCGATTCTGGTCCAAGCGCTCTTACCAAAAGCACTCACCTGACTGTTTCTGGTGTCCTTGTGCATCGGCTGCAGGACAGAGGACGTCCTATGCTTCCAAGCCTCGGTATGCTGTGAACGCGCAATCCTCTCGCTCCAAGCCCCCTAAGGCTTCCAAACACGGCCTTTGACTTCCCAACCAACCAGCTGTGGACCGTGACACGTCTTGCTCCTTATCTCCCCGCCTGGCATCGAATTACAACAGACAAGTGGGTCCTATCAATTGCCGCCCTGTGGTACTTAATAGAATTTCTTCAGCAACCTCCTCTTCCAGCACCCCACCTCCTTCGGTTCTTCCCAACTTCCACCTACATTTGTGGACCTTAACTGCATTTTCGACTTTCTCCTTCCTTTCTCCGATTCTGGTCTGTCACATACTTCTCTACGGATTTATCTGGCAGCCATTTCGGCCTATCACAGTCCAGTTGACGGTTTCTCTGTGTTCTCTCACCTGCTTTCTGTGTGTTTTTTGCATAGCCTTCTTCACCTGCATCCTTCTGTCAAGGCTCCAACGCAACCTTGGGACCTTCCGCTGGTGTTACGTCACCTCACTCGGAAGCCCTTTGAACCTCTAGCGACTTGTGACCTTAAGTACCTCACCTGGAAGACCGCATCCTGTTTGCGATCACCTCTGCCAGGAGAGTCAGTGAGCTGCTCGCCCTCTGTAACAACCCTCCATACCTCTGTTTCTTACCAAATGGAGTGCGTCTGGTTCCTGATGTTTCCTTTCTCCCTAAGGTTGTATCTGATTTTCATCTCCACTCTGAGCCTTTTCTGCCAGTTTTCTTCCCTAATCCTAAGGACAATGAACAGTGTCTCCTACACACCTTGGAAGTGAAGTGAGCACTCCTGTTCTATCTACATCACACCTGGCACACCCGCCATGACCCACGTCTCTTCCTGTCCTATGCCCCCTACAGGATAGGCACAAAGATCACTGCTCAGCGTCTCTCCAAATGGATTGTTGAGGCGATCTGTTTATGCTACCTTCTAGCTAAACATCCTCTCCCGGGACCTCTTTGGGCTCCATGAGGGCAATGGCAACATCTACAGCCTTTCTCAAGGGAGTTCCATGCTCTGATGTCTGCAGGGCTGCCACCTGGTCTACACCCAATACCTTCATCAGACACTACGCCCTCAACGTCCGCTCCCAGCACAGGACTCAGATGGGTTGTCTGATCTTATCTTCTGTTGCGTATTGACTGGCTGCCAGCACCCTCCTCCAGGTGAGCTGTCACTGCTTTCTATTCTCCCATGGGTGTGATGCACAGAGACCACGGCGAAGATAAACAGGTTGCTTACCTGTAGCTGATGATCTTCGAGTGGTCATCTGTGCATTCACACTGCCCACCCTTCCTTCCCCACTGCTGTCAGCCTCTCATTTACACCTTTCTGTTGGTACAGCGGTCAGAAGGAACCAGCAGGATGTTTGTGCCCCACCCCCTGGGCATGCATGGTGGAGGTGCGAAAATCCCTTTAGAGCTTTGCATTGGATCAGCACAGGTGTGCTGAGTTCGCATGGGTGTGAATGCACAGATGACCACTCGAAGATCATCAGTTACAGGAAAGCAACCTGTTTTTTCATCTTGAGTCAAGTCTGCTTGCAATAATATTGCAGACTAATACACTCAAGGGTGAACAGTGACAGTGGACTGATCACATCATTGGCCTTCTGTGGATGAGATGTTAGCTATCTCTCCTTATATATAATTGAGTAGTGGGTGCCAAAGTTCTAAAATGCACTCCTTTAGTGTATGGACGCTTGAACTGTCAGTCAGAAGACGCTGGCTGGGTTGACTGGCTGCTTTGTGCAGTCCCGCCCAGTGTTTCAAGGTCTTTTGCATATGGAAGCTGATTGGACTTCACTGCATTCCACACCTCAAACTCACCCCCCTCCCCGCAAGGCAGTTGGAATGTCAGTTGCATATGGAACCTTCAAGGTCTTTTGCATATGGAAGCTGATTGGACTTCACTGCATTCCACACCTCAAACTCACCCCCCTCCCCGCAAGGCAGTTGGAATGTCAGTTGCATATGGAACCTTCAAGGTCTTTTGCATATGGAAGCTGATTGGACTTCACTGCATTCCACACCTCAAACTCACCCCCCTCCCCGCAAGGCAGTTGGAATGTCAGTTGCATATGGAACCTTCAAGGTCTTTTGCATATGGAAGCTGATTGGACTTCACTGCATTCCACACCTCAAACTCACCCCCCTCCCCGCAAGGCAGTTGGAATGTCAGTTGCATATGGAACCTTCAAGGTCTTTTGCATATGGAAGCTGATTGGACTTCACTGCATTCCACACCTCAAACTCACCCCCCTCCCCGCAAGGCAGTTGGAATGTCAGTTGCATATGGAACCTTCAAGGTCTTTTGCATATGGAAGCTGATTGGACTTCACTGCATTCCACACCTCAAACTCACCCCCCTCCCCGCAAGGCAGTTGGAATGTCAGTTGCATATGGAACCTTCAAGGTCTTTTGCATATGGAAGCTGATTGGACTTCACTGCATTCCACACCTCAAACTCACCCCCCTCCCCGCAAGGCAGTTGGAATGTCAGTTGCATATGGAACCTTCAAGGTCTTTTGCATATGGAAGCTGATTGGACTTCACTGCATTCCACACCTCAAACTCACCCCCCTCCCCGCAAGGCAGTTGGAATGTCAGTTGCATATGGAACCTTCAAGGTCTTTTGCATATGGAAGCTGATTGGACTTCACTGCATTCCACACCTCAAACTCACCCCCCTCCCCGCAAGGCAGTTGGAATGTCAGTTGCATATGGAACCTTCAAGGTCTTTTGCATATGGAAGCTGATTGGACTTCACTGCATTCCACACCTCAAACTCACCCCCCTCCCCGCAAGGCAGTTGGAATGTCAGTTGCATATGGAACCTTCAAGGTCTTTTGCATATGGAAGCTGATTGGACTTCACTGCATTCCACACCTCAAACTCACCCCCCTCCCCGCAAGGCAGTTGGAGCGAAAGTATTGTTCATACAGTACTAAAGTTATAAAATATATGGGAGTATTTATGATGTGCACTTCCGTCAGTATAAAATAAAAACATTACTAATGATATAGGTCTTGAAACTTGCTTTTGCCCTCCTTGTTCGGTGAAGTGCTGAGGTGCGTATTATTTAATAAGTTATCGATGTTTAACTTAGGCCTCCCAGTAGCCACACTTAATAATTCATGTCAGAACTCATTGCCAACTAGTATGGTAACCCATCTACTTGACTACTCCATTGTGCATACCTGTTTGTGTCTGATGTGGAAGCCTTGTGTGTGCGCATGGGCCTCCTTGCCCTCTTCTTCCCCCTGCTGCTGTCTGTCCAGCTCCTTCCCAGATCTATCTTCCATTTACAAAATATTACTGGTCTGTTTCAATACCTGCATATGAGCTGCTTTCATGATGATTAATTTAAGAAAATTTTAGCATACCTTTCTCAAAGGACTCAAGTGATTATGATGATGGGTTATGATGATAGGTTTGGCATGTACTTGGTTAAAACACTTGAAAGTGGGGCTCCTTCCCTCCTTAGCTGCTGCTTCTGAGTATGCTAAAGGTCTTGTGCACATGTCTGTTAAACTAAAGAAGTGGCTTGTGTATTTTCTAATTTTAAAGTAAAAAGTTGTCTCCAGTGAGGGACTTCAACAGGTAACTTACTACTTATAATTTTCTCAAAGTTATCCCTCAGAAGATAAATGACCATTGAATTGTAAAGTGCTTTGTATGTTGAAAAGTTCAATAGAAAATCCATACAGGACATATCAGTTAATTTAGATGCAGACTGTGATTTGTAAGAGAAAAAATGTATACAATTGCTGACTCAGAGGTAACCTTAATTTATGCATTTAAAATCCAAAGCAAATGATTTATCAACTTGAAAATAAAACAAACTGAGCATAATGTTTTTCTTTTCTCTGCAGGTAACCTGCCTGAATTTCCCCTTGCTCTTGTGGCAGGGGTAGCCATTGGTGGAGCTCTGGGTTTAATTTTGCTCATTGTTCTTATTGTGTGTGTTGTATACAGAAAGAAGAATTCTAAAAAGCATTACTCTGGGTAAGAGAATCCTCTGCTCATTTCTTGTATTTCAGAAGGCCAAATTGGATAGACGTAAGCCAGAAACAGCTAATTATATTGTCCTGTCAGCTCCCAACATTTAGAATACCAAATTGTTCTCATCTGCTCCCTACAGTTACACAGCCATTCTAAAGAGAGTTATACCCTTGTAAGCCCATTGACTTCAGAAGGGCGCAACTTTGCTTGGGATGGCTCTGTATACCAAATTATTCATGTCAGCTGGGAAATTTCTCTTGTAGGACAACTACTAATTTCATTGTGCATAGAGGGAACTATTTCCCGCCCTTGTATGTAAAGGTCCCATTAGATCACCTTATACAGGCTGAGGGGAAGTATGTAACACAAAGCTGTCCACAGAGGCAGTCCTCCACTCTGTCTTCCTAAAGAGTTGTTTTGCAGTTTTTATAATAGAACGTGAGATGAAGACTGGACATTTTCTACATTTTGGATTGATTGCACAGCTCTGTTTCTGAGCTTGTAGCTGCCAACTCCTTTACAACAGTCTGCTTGCCAGAGGTTTCCAACCCCAGCTTTGGGAAAGCAGTTCTTCTACTATCTTCACTGGCTTCATCATCTGCATGACTTCCTTTTTTGTTGCACTCAGAGTATCTTTAATTTTGCTTTGAGGAAATTTTACAAGGGTGTTTCTAGGCAGAATGTAGAGCTTTGATATAGGCTTTTGGAGACGTCATGACATATTTTGCAGATGGGTTCTTATGTGAAGTGGCGCCTTTCTGAAATGCAGTCTTTGTACAGAAAAACGAAACTCCCACATTCTGTGGGAATTCATCAATGCACTGCCCAACTCTTTCCTTTCCTACTTTTTATGAATATTATCAATATAGGCTTTAAAAGTCTAATAATTGATGGGTTTGTTTAATTGATGACTTCTCTTGCTGTTACCTTCTTTGCAGCTGGAGATTTTAAAGAGTGTTTCAGTAGAGGTCAGTGCTAATACTGAGTGCAGTGGAATCTGCTTTGTAACCTCAGTGTGGAAAGCCTAGTTCCTTTTCTGCATGTGCTTTTTCCATAACAGCTTGAAGGTAGCCTAATATATGAGTAATTAACTCTCACTCCAGTACGTTACTGCTGAAAGCTGCTTTGAGGTGCTGGGTTGGGGTTGGACTGTGATCCCGCTACTATCCGTTGTCTCCTACCATGTTTTTAAAAACCCCTTCATTGACTGCAGCAGCTCTCTTTTTATGCTGGTTAGTACTGAAAAACAAAAACAAAGGGGAGGTATAAGTACTGAGGAGGACTAAGGTGTTACTGTCTTGTTTCTCAGTGAAACTAACACTAGTGTGTAATGGATTGATTTGGGTGGTTTTTGGGAACCCTTGCATGGCAGTTCCACAACTTCTGTTCTTACTTTGATATTTTGGTTTTTTCCTTTCTGCTTTGGTGTGCTGGGATTGGATCCTGCTCTTACCTTCCTCTCCTTACAGAGATCCTGATATAGACGCAAGATTGGGAATGTAACAGGGCTGGGTCTCCTCTTCCAGTCCCACTATATACCATGGTAACTAATCACATTGGTGGTTGCTCTTTGGTTATATTGTGTGTGTGTGTGTGTGTGTGTGTGTATGCATTTCTGCCTACCTTGCTGACAACCTGGCTAACATAACTCCATCACTTGTGCTGGAATCCTGTTGTGTAGACTGTTGGTGAAGGGGCAGCACATCTCATCGACTGCTTGAATTTTGTTGCCTCATTTTTTAAAAATTGTGATGACAGTGCTACTTATGTTCAGAATTAGTTTCCATCTCTTGGCAGCAAACTCATTTGCATGAAGGAGTGTGGGGAATTTGGACTCTACACTGTGAGGGCACCAAACCATATTGTGATGGGATCTGTTCTAATCAGACCAACTGAACCTTCTCTATGCACAACCTTTCATTCAGAGTTTATTTTTAGATACCATACACAGTTGCATTAATTCTTGCAGTGAACTCCGGGCATTTTGCTTGTCCTCTGGCCACCTTGTTTGCTTTGATCCAGTCCCAGTAAGAATGGGGACCCATTTATTGGTACTCCTTTTAGTCCTGTGTTTCCCTACTGTTAAATAGCTCATATGTCTGCTTTCTAAATGTTTAAATATTCATGTTGGATAAAAGAATGGCTTGCAGGGAACTGCATTCTGTTTAATGTCATTGTCACATTGTCATGATCCATACGTGTTTGTACATGCCATGTAATGTGAACGGAGGAATAAGCAACAGGGAAAAGGGTCTGGTGATGTGAGCTTGTTATGTTCCTAATATTACTGTGCTGTGACCCCTTTTTAAACAGGAAGGGCTGCTTCTGGAAAAAATGAGGAGGTATATAACCTTTTCCCTGCCTGGTGTGTTCCTGCTCAAATAGGCCCCTCTCCAATGCTTCGGCAAACATGCATTTGGAATCTAACATGGAAAGGGGGCAGTACTAGGGCAGGGGAAAGGTTACATGCACACACACCACAACTTTCTCTGATCTCGGTTGCCCCCAGTAATTTTTAGTTTAAATAGGTTACTGTTAAGTGTCTGTGTTCAATGTGTTTTGAATACATGTAAGAGAGGGTTACTGAGGTGTTCAGAGTTTTAAATTTGATTCATAAGGCGTACGCCTTAACACAGGGCATTCATCTTGGAGTCCTGCTTTTTCAAGCAGAAGTGCAAGCACATGTTGGAATATATATCTGATGCCTCTAGACATCAGTGCTTCCCAAGTTTCCAAAGTGCTCCTTAAGTAAATCATACAGGTTTCTAATGGCAGTTACATGCAGATTGGCATTTTGTCTAAGGACTGAAATCTGTAAAAGTCAAGGGGGATTACTTGTGTTGTGAAGACTTAATACAGTAGGCTGTATAACATGTCTTGCTGGTGGCCCATTCCATTCAAGAAGAACCTTTTGCATTATAGGTCGCAGAAAGAAGACTAATTCTAGCTAAGGGGATTAATCTTCAAGTGTGCATTTATGCATTTGTGGTGTGAGTTAGCTGTGGTGCCTTAGACTGGTGAGGCAAAACATCCCTCCACCTTAACAGAATTATCCATGTGATTGAGAATAGCAGCTAGTAGTTATTCTAGAGAAAGCTTCAAGCAAAGCTGTTTTCCTTCTTACAGTTGCATTTGGGTCCCTGTGAGAAAGGAAATGTATAAACAACTGTACTGACCAGAAGTAGGGAAAGGAAGAGTTTGTTCTCAGTTGAGATCACCCTTTATTTTGGCATAGGTTGCCACGTCATCTTGCCATCACTTGCCTTTGTTTTTGTTTTGTTTTGTGTTTGCCTCTTGAATGTTGTCCTGCAAACTCTGCTGTGCCACCTCATCAGCTGCAGTACATCTGAGAGCTTGGTGTCTCCAGTTAAGCAGGCTCCAAGGAAGTCCCCCTCCGACACAGTGGGTCTGGTAAACAGCGTGCCCATCCGATCTCACCAGGTAAATTGCATCATCCTGTTTTGAGAACTCTGACTTGGAGACCTTCCAGGTGGTATCCATATGGTGGTGGGGGGGTATGTTGTATAGTGGCTTGTATTCCTGACTCTTTTAAGCATCTGGAAAGATAAAAGGCACTGCTGCAGTGGAGGAATACGTAAAACATGTCATTCTGAATTTCTGATGTCGGATTCAGTGGGCTGGAACCTGCAGTTGTCTGAGTAGAAGGTACTCGGTGAGGGGGATGGATTTTTGCCCCCTTTGCCTTCTCTCAGCAGCCGTCAGTGAGTGGCAAAAAAGTACTGGTAAGAGTCGAAGGACTTGTGCGGCAAAAAGCTGTGCTGCAGTGAAGAAAGTGAGCAGGCCAAAAGCCCAATGCTTGTAGAATTAGAGGCATCAGAACCACCCCAGTAGTCTTGGGATACTGAAATGACTTGGTTGGCTCTTGAGCACTAGTCAATCCAGTAAAAGTAATTAATATGCTTATATTGTTGATGCAGTTGTTGGGTTTTAGAGTTCCCTAATTTGCACAAATTGATCTATGGAGACTTGAGTGGGTTGCCCTTCCTTAACAGCAGAGGTTTGCCTTTTGGTGTGTTCCAGCCTTTTAGGATTCCTGCAGTGTTGAGTGCTGCCTGTTCTAGGCTGTTCTGTAATAACCTTTTATCAGAGTTAACAAAATTGTACTCCCTTGTGCCTCATTGTCCTTAACGTATGCATTGGATAAAGTTACTCAAAACACCGTAAGGTACAAAATCCACCATTTCAAAATGCTGATTCTAGCATATTGCCCAATAGGAAATGAATTGCAAGTACATATAGCAAGATGGGAGAAGCTTTTTGGAAGCAGGGACATTACAGTAAGATAGTACATGTTGATTGAATGAAACAGTTGGGCCTCTTTTGTCACTGAATATGAGAAGTTGGAAATCTGAAACAAGATAATGGAAAAAACTTTCAAAATATTATGACAACTAAGACATTTTCAAGTTAAGCCTGTTTAATGCTACATGCCTCAGGATAAAAAGTGAATTAGGTTTGGGGGGTGAGAAATTTTAAGGAAAGAGGGTTGTGTAAAAGGAAAACCTTCCCAAGTGAGGTTTTCAGAAACATTAAAATGCCTTTGACAAAGAGGGAGAGCGTAGATGACTTTATATCGATCTTTTTCTGTGGTAGTATGGGACACTATTAAGAAACTGTATTAATGTACAGTCTTGAGAACTGCCTTCATTATTTTTAAGACATGGCTTGTTGCTGATGACTCACTTGTTTGAAGCGGATTAGGAGCTGCTGCTTGAAAACAATGATATTTATGGAAGTGGCTGACTTTATTGCTGTCATGTGAAGATTTAGATTCAGAGGCCTTGTTGTATGTCTGTGCAGTTGGGGAAGTATAAGATTTTGTTTTCTCGGGATTTCTTCCAACATTTTGAATAAAGACCTGAGTCACCCTATGCCTGTTTGCCAGTGAAGACACGGAGAACTTTTCTGTGCAAGTTTGTTTATTACTTATGGTATTAACACACTTCAAAATATCAGTGTGCGCATTTTGCCAACCATTTATAGGTTACTTTTGATAGGAGTTTGAGGAAATACAATAAACAAAGTCTGCATGTGAAAACTATGACACCTCTGGCCTAAACAGGAATAGAGGCTTGTTTGCCTAATTTATTAATGAAATCTGCATAAAGTAGATATATCTGGAGACCAATGTTCCCTCTAAGCTATGGAGTCTTGTGAGCAAAAATTCTATTTTGTGAGCTCCTGGCATTAAAGTTGTGAACGAGCGATTCCTGAGCAAAGACAAAAATGTGTGAGCCGGAGGCTGAAAAACTGTGAGCTAGCTCACACTAACTCAGCTTAGAGGGAACACTGCTGGAGACTCTGATCTTCTTTGCTGGGATGCTGTGTTTAAGGTAAAGGTTTCCCTTGCTCGAAAGCCAGTCGAATCTGACTCTAGGGGGCGGTGCTCATCTTCGTTTCGAAGCCGAAGAGCCAGCACTGTCTGAAGACGTTTCCATGGTCATGTGGCAGGCGTGACTAAACACCGAGGCGCACGGAACGCTGTTACCTTCCCACCGAAGCAGTACCTATTTATCTACTTGCAATTTCTTGCTTTTGAACTGCTAGGTTGGCAGGAGCTGGAGCCAGAGATGGGAGCTCACGCCGTCACGCAGCACTAGGGTCTCAAATTGCCAAACTACAGACCTTCCGGTCTGCAGCTCATCGTCTTAACCTCTGAGCCACCACAGCACTGTGTTTAAATGTACCCAAATAAGTTGGTTTCCAAACCTAGACTTTGGTTTCTTTTCTGTGGAGAGAGCTGTGCTCTTCTTGTGGCATATTAAAAACCTAGGAAATAGGATTAGTATTTTTTTGAAGTTGTCTCTTCTTGCTAGGCAGTGTTCATTATGTGTCGCAGATTGTGGATATTGACAGGCATAAGGGTTTTGTTGATACAGAAGTTTTTTTAAAAAAAGAAAGAGATAGAAAAAGGCAGGGAGATTAGTACTTAAAAACATTAAACACTTAACTTCAAACAATATGCCTGATAGCAAAGTAATGCACACAAGTTGCTTACTCACTACAACTGTATAGTCACCTTATTATTGCAAATCATCAAGTTGTTTACCATCTCCTGTTGCGAAAGTAAGAATTGGGTTGCCTGAGGTTATGTTTCAAATGGCACGCATGGATCTCAGCCTTGTTTGGTTCATTGCATCTTAGGCTGGCTGATTACTCATCAGGTTTGCTTTCACTCTTGCCCTTATTCGTAATTCATTTGAGGCATCGTCTTTCCACAGCTGTGCATGCCTGTTTAGGACCATATGTGTCTGTTCACGTCCCTCATTTGCCTGTACAGAGTTGATTCACTTTGAATGTAACAGCCTGTATTCTCTGCCTTCTAGTTTCAATAATTCCGACTGGTTATATTGATTCTTGTATTGCATTATGTATAAATGTTACATATGATTCCAGATAGCCCTCTGAATGCTGAACTTGTTTACCTTAAGTATTCCAGGTTGTTTTTCTAATTGGCAGTTTCAGTTAAAAAACCACTTACCACAAGCTGCACATAGATATTGCAGAACTGACAAGGTAAGACAGGACATGTAGGTGAAGGGTGGCCTACATAATGAGGAAATCTTCAGAGAGTGCTTCCAGATTTTGATCATGTATACTACCTTCTGTGAAATTTTGAAAAATCCACGGGGTCACCTTGAATTTCTGCATAGAATTGTGGTGGTCGCCTAATAGACCAAGACACCTTCTTTTCAGATATGCTTGTATTTTCCAGTTTATTAGTTATGTAAATCCTGGCATCCCTTGATCTGTAACTTGGTAGGAATAATTAGGCTGTAAGTCTGGAGTCATTACTGAGTCGAAAGGAAACAGTTTTTCTTGGACACTAAAAGGCCTAGTATTTGGAAGAAAATACTGACAATTGTCTCTTGAGTTGGTTGCTAGAAATGTACCCATGGAACTAGCCCTTGGGTTGATCAGATTGATTAGTAGTTTCATATGAAAGAGATAAATTTAGTTACACATTAAACAGAACAAAAAGATACATGTGCAGAGCAAGACATTATTAATAAGGCCTCCTGTAAGAGGCTTTCTGAGTTCTGTTAATTGTGTTGAAAACTGAGCAGCTAATAGAGGAAGTCTGTTGTGTGAAATTAAAGTTCTATCTTCCCTTGCCACATCTTTCCTTATAAGGAGTAGATCTTGTTCCTTCATTTTGAATTATATGAACATATTATTCTTTGATTCCGGACTCATCTGTTTCTAGGTACGTTATTATCTTCCTCTAAAATCCTTTTTGCTGCATTGGTCATCTTTCCAGTTTAGTGTAGTGGTTAAGTGCACGGACTCTAACTGGGAGAACTGGGTTTGATTCCCCACTCCTCCACTTGCAGCAGCTGGATGACCTTGGGCAAGCCTCTCACGAACAGTTCTGGAAAGAGCTCTCTCAGCCCCACCTACCTCACAGGGTGTCTGTTGTGGGGAGGGGAAGGGAAAGGAGTTTGTAAGCCGCTCTGAGACTCCGAGTGAGGGGGGAGATATAAATCTAATCTCCTCTTCCTCCTTCCTCCTCCTCCAAACAAAACAGATTTTTTTAAAGCCCAACTCTTCTCTTTTACCTTAATAAACTAATGAAATTGTATAGACACTTAAGATGGCATATTCCTTATGAGAATTGGGGAAAGAATACTAGGCCAACTAAAATCAGTGAAGGTAATTGTAGATTACAAGAACATGCCACATTAACCTGTGATTCCTTATGAACCCAATGATCTTGTTAAACACGAGTATTTATAGACTGTTCAACTTCTAGCTGCTTTCTGCTCTGACACTGCATTAGTATTGCTGCCATCTAGAGGAGTAAGATAAAGGTATGCAGGTATTTTGTACTAAATAATCTTCATGTCTTTTGTGGACATCACACAAGGAGGTGCTAAATCGCTGACAGTGACCACACACAGATGTCATAATGATCTTTCTTTCTCTTCCTCTTGGCACAGAATATGATTGAAAGTTTCCCAGTGTGGGAAGCCTGCCATGAACAAATAGGTTGATGATGATATATGTATGAGGTCAATATTTTCAAAAATAATTTGGTCAAACTGTGACCACTTTAAGCACATATGTGCTTAACGTGGTGAGTGAAATTCCAAAAGTGTATGTAGTTCCTTAAAGTGTGTACAAGATGATACCATGAATAGCACAAGTTAATGTACAGCACCACTGCCTGCGAGATGGGTGTGGACCTTTACTTTCATTCTGCTTCCACAGTGCTCTCCTCCTTCAGAGAGATAGTACTTCATTGTGGAGTATATTCCCTGGGTGTGAGGTGCGGTCTGCAGTGTATGGTTGCTGTTCTTTCAGTACTAGGCACTTCCTGGTCAGGCATCTTGCAAAAACAAAGGAGGGCAGTGCTGGGGAAGTAGAAGGAATGTATAGGATCCAAGACACAGTTCAGCACTGGGAGACAGATGGAACCTATTGAATGAGCCCGTTAAGTAGCACAGTGAATGTTTGTGCTCCTTTGAAATAGCAATCTATTCAGCCGGTGCTACAGTGCTGTCACCAGATTATTTTGTCTATCTGAACAGATGTCTAGGAAAGCATTTGCTGATCATTAATCTGCTGAAATAACACCTTGCAAAATCATTTAAAGAGCAGCTGACCTAACTTGTGTATTTCTCATATTGAAATGTCTCCCTGTGTATTTTTGGTAATATTTTTATCTGCATGTAACTTGCTGTGATGTATCACTAGTTGATGGATTTTGTCTTTGTGTCTTGGTTACTGTATTTTAGCAGAGAGCAAGGAATTAATAATTAAATAAAATATGCATACCCATAATGGGATGAAAGACATGTACTCTCTCCTTAGTTTGCTTACCCTAGATTTGTTTTCTTTCTGTTTTAGGGCCCAGTAATTTATGCACAGTTAGATCACTCTGGCGGGCATTACAGTGACAAGATCATCAAGTCAGAGTCTGTGGTCTATGCTGACATTCGGAAGAACTGAGGAGATCCCAACCTACCCAAAGCTAAACAAAAATTTTAACTGGAATCGCTTGAAGAAAATTGACCCAGAGAACTCACATGTGGCCTTTGATGCCTAGGCTAGGACCAATGCATGTGCATACAGAGAGAAAGAGATTATATATGTATTGTGTGTAAATAGTCTATTTAATCGAACAGAAATGAGACCAATGTTGCATGTTGAAATATGGTAAAAATTCTGCTTATAAATTACCAATATTTTTTTTGTATCTAGGATAAGGGGAAGAAAGTGAAAATTCATATTACACTTTTTAGATAACTTGTCTTAATTGTTTCGTGGAAAACTGGAAAAATTCCTGGATATTTTGAATGGGTTTGATACTTTGTTTTTACAGGTTCTGTTTCTCTGATGAAATTGACATGAAGAAAACTGTTTCTGCATGATTCCTTTTCCAACTCTGGTGCTTTCCACACTTTACTTTTTCATGAAACTTGACTCATGTCCTCTCTCTTCAACATCCACTTAATCTCTTACCCTGTGGGGGAAAACAATCCACTTCCCATAGCTTCCAGCCTAATCTCAACTGGCTGGAGCCAAATTTCAATCTTTAGGGCATTACACTAACATCACTAATACAGTCTTCACAAGGCTGTTTTAAGGAAGCAGCATTAATTGAAGTCCCTTTACATACCCTGCCACCCTGCTATAAGAGTAGTTAATACAGGCATAGTGGGATTTTTTTTTTTTTTAAAAAAGGTGAAGCATATTTGTACTTTGACCAAAAGAACGTAGTAGAGAATGCATGGTGTATCTTTGCAGTTTGATCCTGGCATGGCTGTCAGTGAAACTTCTAGAAAGTAGAGAAGGCTTGTTAGAAAAAAATAATTTTATTGTCATAATAGCAGTCTGCCTTCATCTAATCTCACTCCTGTGGGAAGAAGCCATGAAATGTGATAGGCTTGCTGTGGCCCCATTCTGCTTCAGAAGGACAGGACCCAGCATACTCATGTTACTAGCTTTTAATGCCTTGGTTCTCACAGAGACATTAAAGAAAACGTTGTTTTTTTATGGTGTGCTGTGGCCAGCTTACTGCTACCTCCTCTGATCTCTGGGACTGGTAAATTAGGTGTCCACAGAAGCTTGCTTTATTTGTTTTTTAAAATTTCCAGTTGCAAAAATAGATTTTTAAAAGGAAAAAAAGGCTGCTACTCTTTGGTTAAGTAGAGTGCAGATGTCTTCAGATGTTTGATCTTGAGCTTTATTTATTTACTAGGAAAAAGGCCCGTTGTGGAAATAAATACAACGGCCTCTAGAAAGAGGCTCTGGGCGGGTGCCCCGGCCTTGGACACTCAGTGTCAATTTGCTGTGGTGACCTCAGCAGGGTATAATGACACTGAGTCCACCATTTTCTCCAGAGGAACTGATCTCTGCTACCTAAAGAACAGTTGTAATTTTGAGTGATCTCCAGCCCTCACCTGGAGATTGGACACATTTTACCTCAGAACAGCAAAACTGTATAGAATGTTAGAGGCAAAAGCCAATCAAGTTGCATATGCAAACGACCTCTGTGTTCCGAGGCAGAGGCCAATGAGGCTGCATATGCAAATAACCTCTGTGTTCTGACTGGATATGGGGGGGGGGAGAGGAACAGCAATATGTTTAGAATGTTGGAGGCAGGAGTCAGGCAAAGCAGCCAGTGGATAGGGAGATCCTCTGAATGACAGATCAGAGAGCGAACTGATTTTGGAGCGTGTGGAATGTTCTAGAGAAGTGCCACCACCATTTGGCTTTTATTTATAAGGGAGATACTTTTTATACTCTGATAAGTTGCAGGCAGAAAAAAAATGTAAACAAAAATTGAGTTTTTCCCTTTTGGGAATCTGATGATTCAATTTGCTGAATAGGAGTAATGATATAATGAAAATATACTGAATGGGATTCAACTGTTAAGATGCATCAAGAAAGACCAGCTGCAGAAAAGAGATAGAAAGTTTACATTCTCTACTGAATGGAACCTATTGCGTTCTTTGAAATTTGTTCTTGTGGTAGGGAAACGGAAGACCTTCATGGGCTTTTAAAGTTGCTCCAGTACTCTTTAGTTGCCCTTGTTTCCCAGTATTAGTGCTACTTTGTTGTCCTCTGTACATCAGGAGTGAGAAGAAAGCAAATCTGGCTTGCCCAGTGGACCATCTAGCACTGTCTTGTTGCTGAGATTCTTGTGAAGCACATGGGTCTACATGGACCATTGTATAATGCAGCACTCCTTGTTTTTCTGTTATGTGATTCTGAGTATGCATTTTTGCTTTATAAATATAAAATAATGGATCATGAGGATTCTAGTAATGAAAGGACTTACAAGATTTTAAGTTGGCTCATTTCTGTTTTAGAATGACCTCCAGTGATGGATGTTGTACTGTAGGGAAGAAGTCCATCACTTACTGAATCATAATAGGAAGGCTGAAAGCAGAGTGGGATGTCTCACACTGCAGTGAAACGTGTTGCTGTTTCTGATTTTTACTTTATACCACTAGCCTCTCCTGCTTGACCATCGACAAGTTAAACTCTGGTGAAGTGTGAGAAAGTAATGTTAACAAGGAAGGCCTACCTTAGTATTGGTTATATGCTACTATCCGTCCTTTGTTTTGATATTAGCTCAAGCCAGTTATGTGTGACTGCAGCAGAATTAAATGATTCCTCATGCAAGCCTTTAGAAGAAGAGTTGGTTTTATACTCTGCCCTTCACTACCTGAAGGAGTCTTTGAGTGGCTTACAATCACCTTCTCTTCCTCTCCCCACAACAGACACCCTGTGAGGTAGGTGGGGCTGAGAGAGCTCAGAGCTGTGACTGACCCAAGGTCACCCAGCTGGCTGCATGTGGAGGAGTGGGGAATCAAACCCAGTTCTGCTGCTCTTAACTACTGCACCAAAGTGGTGTTTAGTTCACAGGGTAAAATCAAACAGTTCAATAGATTTTCATCCCAGCATCTTTTACTATTGGAGCAATGCCCTACTTCTGTATCTAATAGTCACCCACTTTCTACTTTCTGTCACAATGTAGGTAAAATGCTGATATAACTCACAGCTTTTCTGTGGGAAATGTTCAAAATTAACTCTGCATTATGCATCCTAGTTTCTCAGTATTTTTGAAGCTTGAATATTGATATAGGAGTAATTTCCTCTACTCAGTGTCCTATTTTAAGTTCTGAGTTTCATAAAGCCACGTAGCGAACTTCTTGATAAATGTGAGAACCACAGAGAACTCCTTCTCAATAGAAAAAGATACTTATCAAGCAAAAACAAAATTCAATGGACAGCACTCAGTAATGTATTTCGCTAGTGTACCATGTGCTGTCCTTAGATCTGTCAATTAACCAATAGTTTTAATTTATCAGTAAGTGAATATGTAGATATTTGCATATGAATACAGCCGTTCTAAAGAAAAACACAGTAGACAAGGCACAGTTGTGTCAGAAGAGACATTCTCTCCTATGTGGGTGAAGAAGATCGCCTCTTATAAGAAGCAAACTGATACCCATGGATTTTTAAGTACTTGCATTAAAAATTAGTTGCCCACTTAATCAGGACAGCTTTCTATTGATGAAAGTTACTCTACTGACCTGACTACCAAGATTTCATCACCAGTAAAAAATTGCCCTGCTTTGTGAAATAAAGTCCAACTACATTAAAATCTTACAGAAGCAGCTGCTGTTGCAAATGGATGTTTACTTAATGCATTAACAACTGCATCCTTCATCTCATTCAGTTACCTCTGAATTCTGTTGCTTGACAAGTGACCATGTTGGAGCAGGTAGAATGTGTTCCATAGCTTTTGGGAAAGGAATTTCAAGATCTTTCAGATTGTAGCAGTAACCTTATTTGTGCTACGGCTTTCTTTATCCTAGAGCACTTTTTGTGGCTCCAGTAGTGACATTTCAGTGTGTAAATAGAAAAACGGAACTATTGTCTTAATTTTTTGAAGTAGGTTGGCTGAACATCTGTCCTGTAACTTGCTCTGTATGCACAACACTCAAAGGCTTTCCTTGCAGTATACAGTTGTTTTGGTGAAGTGAGCAGGTGTTTGATCATCAAATGAGATCTGTCTAAATCTTGTTTACATTCTTATGTCTGTCATATTTTAAAACCAGGACTTTTCTATTTGTATACGGTGGGTGGGAAGTTACTTCTTTTCTCCTTTCTTAAACCATGTTTCCTAGTTAAGATCTAGGGGACAATTTGGCATGTGTAAGGGCAACTTTCCTATGGTGCTGTATTTTAATGCCCTTTTCCTGTGAAAGGCAATCAAGATCAAATAAAGGACTCCCAGTTGTGAAACTCCACCCTCAAGCTTTGGACCTTTCCCCCCAAGATTTCCCTGTGCTCTACACAGCTCCACACAATGCAGCTATTGAGCCCTTTTCTGCTTTGTTTCTGCACTTTTTAAAAAACAAACTTGGAATTGAATTTTATATTTTGTTGTACAGTTGTCTTTTCTCCCTTCCCCACTATCTCAAAAGCAACTGCTACAGGGCAGCTTGCTGATTTCTGGAAAGCACCACTATGAGATGACCACACTGATGCTGCTAGATTTGGAGGGGTGGGGGGAACGAAAGGGGGTAGACACCTATAAAATGGGTGTATAATTCGGGGGAAATGGCGTATTCTCCATGGTCTTGTAATGTTTAAGTTGGAACCAGTGGTAGCATTCTTTTTGTTTTGACTAGCTTCTGAGTTGGACACACATCACATTGGATATTTACATGTTTTTTATTGTATGCTTGTGACTATTTTAATACACTTTTTCCATTAGAGGTCTGTGTGTGTTTAATTCGAGTGATGGGGGGGGGATATTACAATGTCTTTCAGGTACCTCTCATTTCAGGATGGGATTCAGCTGGAGGACAGAAGCTGCTAAAAACCGAAGTTCACCTTTTCCCATCCATCTGCAAAGGAACAGTTACTTACTGCTGCCCTTCTAGGATCACTTTGTCTTAACAGAAGGAGCCTTGTTAAAGAGTTCACCCTCAGGTTAAACAAGTAGTTGATAAAATTTCTTTTAAAAGTACAGAAAATTCTCAGTAAAACAAAGTCCAGGTCTAAACAACTCAAATTCATGTAAATATTCGGGCACTAATACAGAAAAGCCATAATAGGCAGCTCTGAGAACTGAATTCTAAAGTTGTTACATCAAGATGTATTTGAGTTGAACTCTTCTGTATTTCCTACTGTTGTGACAAGAAGTTAAGGCAATTAACACCACCTGACAGGAAAATTTGAGTATCTCTTTTCCAACAAATGTAAAGAATAGAGGAAACAATGATACTTTACAGTTCTCTCTAGTATTTATACCTTTATTTAGGAAAAGGTTTATTAGCTTTCCCCAAAAGGCAGCTAATAGCAAAGCAAATTTTTGTGACAACAGCTAATAGGATAAACGGGCTCTATTGATGACAGTTTTTTCTCCCATAGATCATGTCTAGGACTCTTTGTCAAAATGTAAAGGATTGGGTGGGTCTCCTTTATTCCTGAGCCATGTAGTAGTATGTAGATTGAATTTTAAACTAACCAAGTACACATTTTATGACCTGGGCTGCCATTTAACCCAGTTGACAGACCAGAATAGCTATCCATATTGGGTTGTGAAAGCTGAGCCTAACAGGCATTTTATTATAGTCAAGTTAAACTTTATTTGCGTAAAGAGACATTTTCTAGTTTATAGAAAAACATGCTCAAACATTAGTAAAAATTCATGCTGGACAAACTGCACAAGATTACAACTAGGTCCCTTGAGAGAGTTCACAGCTGAAATGTGAGGAGATGAACTACATTTTTATTGCTGCTTCTCTTCCTTCTCCTTGGCTTTTAGTTCTTGGTTATACCTGTCAGGAGAAGACAAAGTGAGTGCTTATAAACTACGATTTTGATTATTTTCACAGTTGAACAGGACCATAGGTATATCTTGTGGACGTCCCAGGCTTTAGTTTTGCATTTGAATCTAGGCAAGAATAAAGTGATAATGACTCAATCAAGATTGGGAGATTTTTGTAGAGAACATCTGCTCTTTCACTTGGGGCCCATATCTACATAGCATACAATCTTGTTTACTTTTAAAATTCTGAGCTCAGAAGAATATTACAGTCTATAAAGTGACTTGAAATTGTACTGTATTTTCAGCTTCTAAAGAACACGGGTAGCTAATATAAAAGTTTAGTTTGCCTGAATGTGCAAATCAGGAACAATCCCCATATTCTAGCTAGTTGTCTGAAAGATGGGAGCTAGAAGCAATAGGGGAAGGTCACTGTACATCATCAGTCTTTCCAGTCTGGACTTAAAATGGGGAAGACCACCTACCTCCCTTCTATGATGTTCAGACAGGAGAGGGGGCATATGCAGATGGATTCAAAACATGACATTTGATGAAATCACATTGAAGCTTGTTAAAATTATGCTTATACACTAAATGTGAAACTCCATATGCTGTGGGCATGGCTTCCCATCACTATCGTTGCAGCAGTTTCAGCAGCCATCCTTAAAGGAGCATGCCACTGAACTAGAAAAGAGTAGCATAAAGAGTTGATTGCTTTTGTACCATGTTATATCTTCCCAGAAGGCTAAGTGTCATAACTGGAAATCTAGAGCAGACTGCCGCAGCCTAAATGTATAACAGGGACCCCCATACCCACCCCTACAACATTGTTTTAGCTAGAGAGCCATCCCCACTTCAGTACAGACTGGACAGTCACGTGTTCTGCACCTGTATGATTTCATGTGATGGTGGTGTTCCAAGCCTCCCCAGCTTGAGAATCACTAAGGAGGCCTAGAGAACTACCAGTTTGTCTTATCTTGCTCCGTTAAAGCTGAAGATTCCGTAACATGAGAATTAAAATTGCTTAAGAAAGTTGTGAATTCTTCCCTCCCAAAGGACCAGCTACTGTAGGGGAGAGATATAGGGAGAAGGGAGTGAATGAAAACCAAGCAGGTATAGCTGTGCTCTTGTAGCTGGAGATACAAATCCAGTGAATATTTTGAATGGGAGCTCCTTTTTCTAAAGACATAACAATATTGTTAGAAAAGCTGGGGCTCAGTAGCCAAAGAAGCATGTGAGGCATAAGGCAAAAAATACAGGCCACCCCTATTAAGGCCTCCAGCAGCATGATGGGGAAAATATTCAGCAAATTATCATTGTCAGCCCACTCATCTTTCCTACATGCCGGTAGACTCTTTTACCCTGATTTTGTTTCATGTAGTGTTAAAGCACAGGAATCATGCCAGGAATCACTGGCAACACTGAAGAGTCTGACCAACCTGAGGAACCAGATGCTAAATAAGTCAACTGAAATCCTTCCTACTTGTTTACTTACCTCCATATACGGTACAGCTGAGAGCCGCCAGCACATCCCACGAAGAAATTAACAGTAAAGAGACCCCAGTTTTTAGGAATGATAACTAAGGAATATCTTGACCAGATAAGTCCTGTTGGGTTGTGAACAGATACAATAATTGAATTAAATGCACATTAGTACTTCAAGGGTAATACTGATTGTGGTCTGTAGTCATACAGGTGTTCATACCAAGTGGGACTATGAGCTGAGAGATCCAGATTCCAGTCCCCACTCTGCCGTGATCTTGGGCCTCTCACTGTCTAACCTACCTCACAGAATTAGTATTCCAGTCCAAAATGTATTCTATGGAAGCAAGTCAGCAATGAACACACCATCTGTGCACAGGGGTTTGGTCCCCAGTGTGACTGGCACAATATCAAATAGGATAAGCCAATTTTTGCAACACGCAGCCTGCAGTCTAGAAATTTGGCAGTCAATTTGTACAGTTGCTCCATAAGTTGACTGGTAAGAATTCTAAGCTGTCTGGAAAGTCCTGGCCTAAGAAAACCTTTCAGTCTCTCAAAGACTAATACATTAACAAAACTGTAGACAAAGCTCCATGTATGTAAACTTGTTCAGTCAACCACTATGGTACAATAGCATAGAAACTGCAGTCTCTGTTGGGATTGTTTTTATATCATCAGTAGAAAAAAAATTCTAATGCTAAACTGAGTTAATCAAAACTCAATTTGTATGGTTTCTGGCTAAACAGTTTCTAGCCAATTCTATTGATAAAACAATTTTCTGCAGTTGATTCAACAAGCCAAAGTGTTTTCAAAATCTTTTAGAAAATGAAACACCAAGTTTAAAAATTTAGTTCTGTTTGGATGGGTTTTGTTTCAAAAATGATTCCTCACTTATAGCCTCTCTCCAAGGTGGACATTCATGGGCAGGAGTTATCCCATGATTTCCTCAATGGTGTGAGCTGTGCTAGGTAGAGTATGACCAGGGATTCAAATCCAAGCCTCTTTGGTTCAAGGCTAATATTCTAACCAGACAAATATGACAAACATTGTTGAAGATGATAAGATGTCCATCACACATACCTGTGGCCATTAACACTGCAGACTGTGATGTGCTGAGTTTTTCTGCTGGCCTAGTCATATCAGCCATTCCAGCGCAGACCAAACCCTATAAAAAGATGGCGCATCAACTTCATTGGGACAGTGTTGAATTGTATAGATGTCATACTATAGTCAGAACCCAGGTGCAATCGTCCTTTGCATTTCACAGTTTAAGTCATTCAACTACTGAACATGTACACTTGTAGACATCAAGGATTTATAAAGGCAGTTACAGGCATACTGCATGCTCTGCTGCATTTTGAGGGAAGAGATGGTCGAAGGAGAAAGCAATTAGTTAAGTTTCTCCAATGGACTGGCCTAGAACTCAATTTGCTAGGTCTGTGGATTGAAAAACCTCAGTGGTGCAAGTAGTGGTTTATACCACTGCACGCACAAAGCAAGGAATCTCAATTGTTTTCAGATCACTTCCTAAACTCAGTGCAACTGCTGGGGCAAACTCATAGTTCACCCCCCCCACACACACACACTTGCTATATCAAAAGCTACCATATGAGTCCACTTGTGCACCTTGTTGTTACTGGCATTTTAAACATATAAGAACTGTCAATTTTTTTATAGATGTTCCATGTTCACAGGCCAGATTTATTGGGGGAAAATGCAAAGAGATTATCCTGTAGGAAACAAATGTCATACAAGACAAGTCCCACAGAAACTTCACATTCAACAGCAAAGAGTTTCTTTAATCAGCTCAGTTTAGAAAAGGGGATAGCTTCTAAGCTTTTTCAAAAGGCTTTGGGCCTCCCTGGTAAGCATTCCCAGTTGCTTATCATAACGTGCACAATAACAGTCTATTGGGAGCAATATAAAATAGTACATTTTCATGTTCAGAGTTAAGTACGGTCTGTGACTTCCTACACAATTTCCTACTGAAACACGTCCTATTGATAACAAGCCGTGCTGGATGCCGCTAATGCACACACATGAAGCTGCCTTGCCGAGTCAGACTATCAAGGTGGTATTAATTGATTTTACCTTTGGTTAGGTCTCAAAGATGTACTGGTCATTCTGATACTTTACTTCCCACCTAATTCCTCATTGGACACCCTGTCTGACCTGACAGACATAATCTCAGGGTTAGTGCTGGAGACACTCAGATTGATTTTTCTGGGTGACTTCAAATCCATGCCAGTGATGACACCTTGGCAGGGAGGCATAAGATTTTATAGTCACTGGCCACCATAGGCCAGGTGGTAACTGGCCCTATGCACAACAAAGGACACACTTTAGACCTTTTTTTCCAGAATCAGTGGGGAAAGAGCTACTCCGGGGAATGGAAATCTACCCTATGCCATGGTCTAACCCAGAGATGTCGAACTCATTTGTTACAATAGCCAGAACTGACATAAATGTCACTTCGTCAGGCTGGGCCATATGTGCCATAAAATGAATGTCAAGTTCTGGAGATATAAACTTTATAAAGGACAGCAGCTAGTATGCTCTGAGTTGGTATATCCTCACTGCAAGGCCCATGGGCTGGGAGGGGTGTGTTCTGGCCCCCGGGCCTTATGTTTGAGACCCCTGGAACCCTTATCACGGCTCAGGTGAATATGCCACCAATGCTCTGCAGGAGCAAGCTAAAATGCTCCACCCACAGAAACTAATGGATCCAGCTAGCCTCCAGAATGCCATGGTGATATACACATTTTGTAAATAACTAAATAAATCTCAAGGCTAGGCTACTGTATGAATTCTACATGGTTCTGCCCTTAAAAACAACTTAGAAACTCCAGTTGGTTCAGAATGCTGCGGCATAGCTGATACTGGATGCTAAGCAGAATCTTCATATCCGGCCCGTTCTGTGTAGACTCCACTGTGCATTGAAGTAGATGCTAACAAGATAAGGTTTTAGTTTAACTAATAGAGGCCTTTAGAGTTTGGCACCACTTATGTAGAATAGTAAAGATAACATGGGGGGCCGTGGTGGCTCAGAGGTTAAGACGCTGAGCTGTACACTGGAAGGTCTGTAGTTTGGCAGTTCGAGACCCAAGTGCCGTGTGACAGAGTGAGCTCCCATCTCTGACCCCAGCTCCTGCCAACCTAGCAGTTTGAAAGCAAGACATTGCAAGTAGATAAATAGGTACGCTTTGGTGGGAGGGTTACAGCATTCTGTGCACCTTGGTGTTTAGTCCTGCCGGCCACATGACCACAGAAATGTCTTCGGACAGCGCTGGCTCTTCGGCTTGGAAATGGAGATAAGCACCACCCCCTAGAGTCGGATTTGACTAGCTTTTGAGCGAGGGAAACCTTTACCTTTTAGAGATAATATATACAATGTTTCCACTAAGCTGTCAGAGAATGCAGCAGCTTGACAGAACCAACCAGGGAGTAGATGTCCTTTCAACTCAAGTCAATTGGCAGTATTTCTACATCTTTCTTACAACATATTCTGACTGTTTATTGGTCAATATTCTCAGACAGATTAGAGGACCTGTCTAGCCATATTTAGAAAGTTGTGCATATACAAATGTTTGTAGGAATTTCAATTTTTCTGGGCCACAGCTTACAGTTTTAGCTCATGGGTTTCATGCATTCCATACTGGCCTAAAACGTCAACTTACCCATTTCATAACAGGTGCCCAGAAAAACACTGTTTTAGGACCTGCAAGAGAACATTTTTAGTTAATGCACAAAACCAGAAAACTGAAGCAACACAGAGTGGAACTACATACACTAGATCTACAAGTCAAGCAATACACAAAGTATGGACTGTCTGTTGTGTAATAATTTTTACAATGGCACCAGCTTCTTGTACTAGTTCTCAGAACAGCAAGTAGCTTTGCTGCACTGGCCAGATACAGACTGTTAAAGGGGGGGAAACCCTGAAGTTTATTCGAGCAGTTCGGACACCCCTCCCCCCCCCCCCCCCCCCCCAGTATCTTGCTACTCACAAGAAGCCTCTAAATTCCTGCAAGTAGCTGTCGGGTTCTGTCACCACCTAACTTCTCCATGGGGTGGGGGAGGGGAGGAAAATACTGAAGACTCCAACTCCCCAGTGGATACAAAGTGTCCTCCCTTGACAGGGCATTGCTGAAGGCAGCTGGGTGAAAGATGCTCAGGGAAGAAGGATGCCCTGTCAAGGGAGGACACTTTGTATCCACTGGGGTGTGGGAAGTTATGTTGTGAGCAAACCCAGATTACTTTAGAGGCACCTGAGAAGTTTGGCCATCGTTTGAGGTAGAGACCAAACATCACTAACAGTGAATGCTCATGTGACTTCCTCCTGGTCAAGGCTGTGCTGTCCTTGCCCCCCCCCCCCCATGTCCTTCCTCTTGCAAGGCCTCAGAGGGGAGGGAGGTTACACCACCTTGTTCTTCCTGCTTTCCATATCCTTTGCCCTTATATGCTGCCTGAGCAGGGATATTGCATCTTCCCTGGCCTGCTGCAGATCCTCCTTAAAAAGGCTCCCCTCCCCTGGCTTGCTCCTCCTGCCTACCCCTTCACCCAGCCAGAAATGCCCTGAGGCCCTGTCTCAGGGGCAGCTGCCTGCTGGGCGGCTCCCTTCCCCTGGGCAGGGCTTGATGTTGTGCCTGGCTCCAGGTGGCTGCCCAGTTCTGTTACTGAACCTAGAGTCTGCAGCCCCATCCTGCCTGTTCTAGGCTTGTCCTGACCGGGTGGCTGCAGCTGCCAGTTGTGTATGGCTTGTCTCAGCCAAGCAGAGCTGCTCCTGCATGTTGCCAGACAACTCACTCTAACAGCACCCATTTAACAGCGTGTTTTACAGCCAACTTTTCTCCAGCAGCCCCTCTTCTCGAGGAGATAATGCAAAGGCTAGGAGATTATTTTGTAATGCACCTTAATTCTTTCATAGGTGCTCAAGTTCTGCAAAATGTGGGGTTTCATCATTATGGGTAGAATGGTGCATCCAAAGATAACACATGCATAGCCTTGCAAGTAAGGCAAATACAAACTAAGAATTACCAGGTGCATTTTGCAAGAAAATAAAATTACAGATCAAGAAATCCTATTAACAATTGATAAATAAATTGCAAGATAATAGTTATATTATGTGCATAGCTGTGTTTTGTAACACAGTTTAATCATTTTATAGATGGTCAAGGTCTACATGTTGAGGCTCCTGAGCAGTAAAAAGTAAATATTCTTATTACATTTGTTCAGAACTGCTAATTGCAGCTATAACTATCCATTTCCTCTAGATGCACTGTGGGAAGAGAACTGCTATATTCTTGTAAAAAGTGGAGCTTCACTGCCCATTGGAAAAGAAGCAAAGAAACAGTTGTTTTGATCCGCTGGCATACTAACCAATGTTCTCTCTAATATTTTTCCCTACTGAGTGGAGCAGTTCACATCCTGAGCAGAATATAACGGCTGCAATCTTAAAATGAGCAGTGCAAGACCCAGTGTGGCTCCAGTTTGCTGCTGAGTGGGGCTTCCTGTGTTAATGGGCAGCCGCTCATGCACACAGCTTAGAGGGAATGCTGACACTCACTATATAACAAACCCACCAAGAGCTTAAAAAAAATTCTTCCCATCCTCCCAAAAGAAAGTACATGGTTGGAGAACCTCATTCATATTATTCAAATGACCTGTGAGGTTAGGCTAAGACTGTGTGAGAGGCCTGAAGTCACCCTACGAGTTTCCTATCCAAACTGAGATCTGAACCCAGGTCTCCCCAGTCACAGTCTGACACTAACCAACAGCACCCATCAGGCAACATAAAACCACTGCAAGTGGTTAACTTGTTTAACTTGTCAAGAGCCTACATCCAGATTTGTTTCAAGGGGAAACTTGGAATATTTTGAACAGCGACTTTTTAAAACATGAGATTTAGTGGATTTATTATGCAGCTTTTGATTATGGCAGAAATGAAAGGCAGCCTCTTCATCATGAAAGACGCCCCCAAGTGCCGAAGCTTTCATGAATGATCCAACCATATTGGTTGTGACTTGCAAACTTTTTTTGTGTCTTGCAATTTTAAGAACTCTGACTTTCTCTTATCTTAATGTTCTTATGGCAAGGCAGCAGTTTACAACACTTTGGGAAGTGTTATGTTTTAATCATCTTGTAAACAAAAATTAAATAATTGGGTAGCTGTGTTTCCATTAAAAAGTTCTGATATGCTTCAAAGGGTATACTGGTCCAGTATAATTTTTTAGTTGTTGTAGATTTTCTGGGCTGTGTGGGTGGGGTCTTGGCATTGTAGTACCTGACGTTTCGCCAGCAGCTGTGACTGGCATCCTCAGAGGTATAACACAGAAAGATGGAGTACTCTCTGTGTCAATGCCTTCGACAACATAGTCTAGTTTTTATCAAAAAAAATTTTCATACAGGACACTTTTATAAGGGGAAGAGAAGATGCAGAGATGGGATGCCAGCCTCCAGGTGAGACCTGGGGATCTCCTGGAATTACACCTCATCTCCAGACTGCAGAGATCAGTTCCCCTGGAGAAAATAGCTGCACTGGAGGGTGGACTCTATGGCATTGTACCCCACAGAAGTCCCTGTCCTCCCCAGGCTCCATCCCCAAATCTCTAGGAGTTTCCCAACCTGGAGCCAGCAACCTTACTCCCCCATCCCTCGCCAGTGGCCAGGAGGTAGCTGGCAACCCTACTCCTTGCACAGGCACTGTGAATAGACTGTGCTAGCAGCATATGCAACAGACGGACTTGAGCACTGCACATTATAAAGCTCTCCATGCAAGTGAAAAGTTGTTCAAGAGTCTTGGGGAAATGATATAAATAAATAAATCTATCAGGTTATTGAAGAGATAAATGTCCTGAAATAGTTTGATATGTCCCACTGTCTTTGAGTGGGAGATACATTTTTTAAAGGAAGTATGTAAAGAAATAGATAATGTATAGGCTAGTTTGAACAAAAATATTCTAGCAATCAAGGTTATTAAAATCTTTGCCTAATATCTTTAAGAGTTATAAGTTGCACATTTCTTGCAAGAGAAGTTCCATTATTCACAATGCCTTTGAGGAATTCTAAGGAGCTTTCTATTCAGAGTAACTATACAAAGGACAAAATGAGATGCACCAAGTCATGCCTTTCTGCTGCCAGCAGCAACTTTCCCAACTGCATAAAACCAAGGAGAACAAGAGGAGTTGGATATTTAGCAAGTTTAGCAATGGCTGTAGCATATGAGAAACTATTAGCATAGGAATCAGACTTGTTAATTACACAGAAGTCCTCTCCAAACTGGCCATTTAATTTGGAATTGCCATGATTCCCTCACTCAGTTGTAATGGATAATACTGCTAGCAGTGCACTGCAGGTCACAGTTTTCTATGCTGTCCTACTTCTTTCAGACCTCTTGTGTACACATTTGTGGGGTTTTTCCACTTTAAAACAGAATTGCATGGCTAACTGTGTAGAACAGAAAAGTGCTTTTCAGTCCCCCTTTCACAAGGAGTGTTCAGACTGGTGACAGTGGCAGTTTCCAGCTCACCATTTCTTGATTTCACTACCATTTTTGGCACAAAAAAAGGGGGGGGGGATTCTTAAAAAAAAAACCAAGATCCGTCAATGTCACTATTATACCTGTGGAACTGAAAACAAACAGCTACAAGGGATGATGCAGAAGGTCAGGGTCACAACCTTCCACCTGCAGCAGAAAACTTTACCCACACACACACACTATTCACCCTACAAATAGCATGGATGGGCAGAGATGGTGATATTCCCTGTAGAAAACAAAGGCGGAGGGAAAGATTCAAACCAGTGTTGTAGCAGTACTATGGCTGCACTCTGAGTTGCCCTCCCAAAGTAGTTCTTAATTGAAATTAAAGATATTGGCAAACCCACCACTCTGGAAGGTCTACCCTTGAAACTAATAAGAGAGGAGGAACAACAATTAAGGCACTTCCCTGCTTTTTAACTTCAGTTTATTCTCATTTCTCATCTCCCCTGCCTGTAAAGCCCCATGCATTAAGCTGATTTTGTTGCTTTCTGTTGGTTTTCAGTCCCCCAGAAGTGCTATGTTGTAATAATAGGGACAGAAGTAAACATGGGTTTAGTTTCTTAAATGAATCTAGGAAATTATAAACTAGGGAATCAAAACTGAATGGAGCTTATTTCTGAGTAAATGCACTTTGGCTCTCACTGCTCCATGAGGACAAGAATAAGGAATTCTAGTGTGTTTGTGTGTGGGGAGCAATGTTCCCTCTAAGCTGTGGAGTCTTGTGAGCAAAAATTCTGCTTTGTGAGCTACTGGCATTAAAGTGGTGAGCAAGCGATTTGGCTCCTGCATAAATCAGTTTGCTCTGGAGTCATCCTTCCTGAGCTAAGACAAAAATGTGTGAGCTGGAGGCTAAAAAAATGTGAGCTAACTCACACTAACTCAGCTTAGAGGGAACATTGGTTGGGAGTCCTAGTTTCAATTCTGCTTCCAACTAATTGCAGAAAAGTAATCCTTCAGCAGTGCAAAACAGTCCATTTGTGGACAGTTCTAAAAGGAAAGGGATATTCCTCAGATACTGACACATATTCTAGGGGAAATGTCACTTATCTCACTAGGCCATCAAACTAACCTGTATCAAGGACAAAAAAAAAAAAAAACACTGGACTTGCATTTTGTATTGGATGGGTTTTGCTCTTGAAAACATGTCTCGAGCACAACAGCAGTAACAGCTTTCAACTGGTATAATGCTGATCAGCATCTTAGTTCAGCACCCTCTCATCACAACCTAGACCCACATTTGTCAATGACTCCTGAAACACTGCTTGGCACAGAAGAGCTTTTCAGAAATTCTAACAGTATTACTTTATATATCTTCAGTTTCTAGAAAAACAAGGAGTTCTTGTGTGAGAAGGGAAAGCTGCAACACTGGTGTTAGTTTAGATTCTTCCATCTCTAAGAACACAAAAGCCTATTCCCTCGGACCTTGCCTAACTTTCTTTCAGAGCCTTCAAAGTGTTATGAACTTCAATCATATTGCACAAATGTCCTGCTTACATTATTTTAGTAATCCTCAAAATCTTGCAAGGTGATTATTGTGATCCTCAGGTTGCAGACAGCTGTCCGAAGTTGGGGTGGGGGGAGGGAAGCTTGCCTAAGGCCACCTACAAAGTTCTTAGCCAAGGTGCACTGCTTTGATGCTTGACTTTAAGAATTAACTTTTTGCCACAAATTTTGAACGACTGAATGTCCACAATCAAGCAACACAAGTCACAAAGCACAGGCAAGACTGGCCTTTGCTACTACCTAATATACAGCAGAGCAAAGCTAGCATAAGTATTCTGATGAGCAATATAGCTCTTCACGTACCATAATTCAGGCCTTGACATATTTTCTTTGACTGTAGGAGCTGGCCCAGAAATTTAGGAATTAGATTCATTGTTTAGCCTTAAGCATTTTGTATTTTAATAACCAAATTTTCTAATATTTGCTACCACAAAACTTAATCCTTCACATTAATTTTTATTAGAGCTATGACAAAAATGTTGCAGCCTATACACAAATAGGGTGGGGTAGCCGTATTGGTCTGAAGCAGAGGAACAAAGTTGAAGTCCAGTGACACCTTTAAGACCAACAAAGTTTTATTCAGGGTATTGGCTTTCATGTGCATGCATTCAGATACATTGAAATGGAAGTTACCAGTCCATACATATAAGTAGAGGGTGAACAGCAAATCAGCATACAACATAATGAAGATGTTTAATAGATGCAAGGATCAAACAAGCTTAGTCTATATGGTTACCATTTTTGGGGGTTTAATTCCGGGGGGAAACATAGTAATGGAAATAAATATATCAAAATTGGAGACTGATGGGCAGATGTACTCTTCCTAATTGTGGAATGCTGAGAGTAATTAACTGAGACCCACCCATAATTAAACCCACACAAATGGTAACCGTACAGAACAACTGAAATATATACAAAATATAAAAACTGGTTAGGAAGAAGAGATCACTGAGGGAATGCCAAACCAAACAAAAATGTCTGCACCTGCTGGCAGTGAACAAGCAATGACTTCATGCACATTTAGTTTTATGTTATGCAACAATACATTCTGATAAGCCACTGTGAACTGGTGAGAGACAATACAATAATATAATTGCTGAAAATACTAGGGTCACGATGAAATCTCTAGGCACCATGGCAATCTGGGATTTGTCAAGCCCTGCCATAATCCATTTGTCCACAGAAGATCAGCATGGGTAGTAGTAATTTGCATATTATTTATTTATTTATTGCAAAGACCCACAGCCTGAAAAATCCCATACAGGAGAGATACTGAAGTTGAGAAAGCCAGCTTCAACTTAAAAGAACAGTAATCAGTAGTTTGTTTTCTAGTGGATTATCGTTAAAGATAAGATTACAAATAGTTTCTTCTTTTCTCCACAGTAATAAATTCAAGGGAAACTATGGTTAACAAATTCAGTCTAACAGAGATGTCAGCTGGAGAGCAGGAATTACAGCCAGTCAATCTATCATTGCTTTATCATCTAGATTATTTAATAATATTGAATGACAATATAAGTGGTATTTCTGGGTTTCCACTGCTGATAGCCACAAAATATATTTTAGGAGCTGCTGAAGACAAAAGATAGATAGGTGTGTTGGGCCATAGAAAAATCCAGAACCAAAGGCATACAACACTTCTTTAGCCAAAATGACATGTGTTCTGTTGAAAATGTTCCCCTATCCAAGTCTTCAAATGAACATTTGAATAGGAGTGGTTCCTAGGAAAGTGTTATCTCAGAAACCGTGGATGGGGGAGAAGTTGCTTTTTGGACCTCAACATGACCTAGGACACATATCTTCTAGGCTGAAGAAATACAGAGAAAGATCTCCCGTACCTTTCACAGTACCAGAGAAAGAATTGGCAGAAAATACAGCTTCTTTTATCCCTGCATGACAATTCCATTTCGCAACTGATCACCCCAGCCCTCAACCCTCCCGTTCACGAGTCAGTTATATATTTCAAAACTACAGAGATTCCGTTTGATAAGCATCTTTACCATCAAGGAAGGTTGACAGAGTTTTGTATCAAAATAAATTGGGGGCATCAGTACAGGAAAGCTGTACATCCTCCCCTTGAGATAACAGGCCTCTCAATTTTCAGCATGGAAAGGGAGACTGAGGAAACTCTCTGCAGTGTCCTTTTAAAAGGGCTTGCAACCTCCTATCCCACTCCGCTCCTTTACACAACCCCCCCCCCCACATACACACACCAGAGAGGGGAAGCAGAGTTAAGGGATTTCCGAATCGAATTTCTTTAGCATCACTAGATTATTAACCAAAGCATTATAATGAGTTTGTGGGGTGACCAGATGTAGCAGAGAGATCGCACTGCACTACTGAAAGCCAATCAGCCTCTTTCTCCCTCACTCACTCCCAGCCTTAACTATCACACAGGGCTCTCGTGAAGACCACATGGAGAGAGGAGAACCATGTACAGGTATGTCACCTTGAGCCACTTGGACGAAGGGAAGGCTAAAAATGTCAAAAACTGATGCTACACTGGACCTACTGACGCAGCCTCTGTCACAGCGAATGAAAGGTACCCAGAGCCTTTCTACTTGCGGGGTCCAAGCACTGAAACGTGGACCCTCCTTACCAATTCCAACACATACCTTCATTCTCAAGAAACGTAAGGTATGGTAAGCTTTCTTTTCTTTTGCAGTATCATAAACAGGATAATGGTCTTGACTGTCCGAGCCAGGCCAATCTCTCTCTCTCACACACACGCACACTTTCTAACAAAGCAGTCAAACGAACAGATAAGAGACCTTGTCATCCCCTCTCGCCCACTCCCACTACCTGCAGGATGGTTATATAAAGGGCGAATCCGTGCTGGCAACATGAGTTCGATCCGGTCTAAGAACCGATGGTAAGAGGCACGAAACCCCGCCACGGCCGCCATCGTGAGTGCGGTGACGGCGGTAACTGAGAATACAGCGTCTCTGGTCGACCTGCCGTCCTTCGCCGCCCACAGAAACACAGCAAGAACACCCCCCTCCCTCACAGACACCCAAGCAGGTGGTAGGGCGAGCCCCGCTAGCTTTCTTTTGATTTGCTCGCTGAAGGAGAAAGGGGCGGGCTTTATCAGCTGATCTCCGCGCCATTGGCTTAGCTACTCCCCAAACCGGCTTGCCCTCCGGCTTCGATGACATTTACACGGTCAACTTCACGTCCACTTTTGATGACGATAAAGCAGTTGGGACGACGATCGATGACGATTTTAGTATTTATTTATATTATGGAGATAGGTTACAAAACCAATGACGTCTGTCTTCGTGTTTTTTCTCTCTCCTAACGCATGATCGAAGCCGTCTAGTTGTTTTATGTAAGGCCGTGTCTGTCTATACCTCGTCGATATTTCTTAACACTGAATCCGAGCCCGCAGTGTCGTCTGGAAGGTGTGAGAGAAGACGCTGCCCGAGTCAAAGATGGTGGCTTTGCCAGTGTAGATCAAAAGACCATCGCGCAGAAGAGATCGCGACGTGACCCGCTTTCCTCTCTATGTCTATTTGAAAAAGTGTGCGTGCACACGAAAGCTCATACCTTGAATAAAACTGTGTTGCTCTTAAAGGTGCCCCCTGGACTCTAAATTTGTTCTATGGCTATTTTTGTCACCCTGAGGGTGGGGCGAGGACGATAGGTCCGGGCGTGAGTTCTCGCGATAGCCTCGATAGTTCGGTGGTGAAGGGGATCTGGGGATGGGGGAGGAGCCGAGGGAAAGGTGGGAGGCGGGGCTTGGTGCTGCTGAGGCGGCTGTTCGATAGGGGTGTTATCGGTGGTGGTGGTTACGCGCGCGCAAAGCGCGCCCGCGGGTCTCCATGGTGAAGGCAAGGGTGGCGAGAGCAAGTGGCGGCGACTGATGTCGCTGGCGGCGGCCAGCCTGAGCCCTCCTGGTAGCGCGCGGTGCCATGTCCCGGGGGTGCTGCACCCACCTCCTGTGGGATGTCAGGAAGCGGAGTTTGGGGCTGGAGGAGCCCGGCCTGCTGCGGAGGCGATACCTCGGTGAGAAGGGAGGGCGGGGTCTCAGGCGGCGGGGGGAGGGGAACGGCATGGCGGGGGGGGGGCATGTCGTAGGTCGTCCCTCCCCCAGCAGCGCATGCGAAGGTCTTGACAGCGCTCGAGCTGAAGGGGGGCGAGGGCGGGGCTGGCCTTCGGGCCATGAGTTCGGTCCATAGGGCAGCGCTAAGGAACCGAAGGGAGGCGGTGCTTTGCTGTGTCGCTGGGTAGTGCCTTTTGGAAACCCCGACTGCAGGTTTCCGCACGGATTTCTTAGGGATAGAGGGATTTTTTGAATTCGTCCTTGTTTTCAACATTTCAAACCCGAGACCTTCAGAAGCATACACACACACACACACACACACACATGCCTTCTCTCACCCTTCCCTCACTTTTCTTAAAATAGTCGGGAATGTCTTTCCATGCTTCCCCACCGTCATGCAACAAAGTGTTGCACTTGGGCATGAAGTACTTTTGGTAACTCGAGTTCACTTGAACATGCAGTTTTGCTAGGGTTTTCAAGCGGCCTGCTGTGTAAGAAGTCGCAGAGCGGAATCAGAACGGGGCTTATCGTTTCTGTATGCAGTTGCCGTGAGCTAAACAGGTTCAGGATGTACTTAACACTTGCCGGCATTTAACTCGAACGTCGCTAGGCTGTGGCTTTCGTAACTTAGAAATTGTTGCCTGCCTGCTCCCTTGCGCGGAAGGAATGTCCTACAAAATCCTTTTTAGAATAACTCCTTCTTTTCTTGTTTGTATTGTTTTCCAAATTTAACTTATCATAGTAATATATAAAACGTTTGCTTTTATTTTCTGTGAATTAGAAGACATTGTTCCAGTGCCTCGAGAAAGGGTTGTAGCATATCTTCAATTTTCTTGTTACATTTTTATTATTTGATAAATATATCAAAATGATCTATAGACCAGGGACATTTGGGTTCCCTTTCCAACACCAAAAGAACCTTGATATAGGAAAATTAGTTATTTATTAAAATATTTGTATCCTTCCTTTGCTTTAGGCTTCACTGTTGTTGCAAGTAGACTTAATGACTTTAGAAAGGTGGATTTTTATATATTTATGTTTATTGTAAAAACAAGCACTTCCATTTAGTAAGGTCCACATGTACATCTTATATAAATATGCATCCAGATATAGATTTTTATTGAATATGTTGGATGGGAATGGGCATCCTCTTCTAGTTTCATGAGTCACTTGCAACTGGAACATTTTTCTCATAATATGGAATGCAAAGATAAGGAAGCCCTCAAATAGTCTTTTCTACACTTGATCTTAGCCAGTGGAGGGCATTCTATGACTGGTTAAAACTTAAGTATTAAGAAAATAAGATCAAGTGAAGAATAATACGAAAGATAGATTAAATAGTTGTGAAATTGTAATGAAAAGCTATGCATGCAGAATGCTAAATTTGAATTTTTAAATATTTCTGTACTTCCTCCTTTCCACCTTTCTGTATATAAACTAACTTTTTTTTTAAAAAAAAATAGTATTTTCTGCTACTGTGCCTGATCTTATGCAGAGTTAGGCAGATCTTAAAATAAAGTTATTTTCCCATATATGTTTATGAATGTTATTTACATTAGCAAATTAGGACTGCAGTCCTATATAAAATTACTACACCTACCTCTGCATAGAAGTACAGCCCTAATTCCATATCTAAGTAACGTAGCATGAGTGCTCATAAAGGTATGCATGTAAAGTGGCTTCGTTTCAGAGAGAGGAAAAGGAGAGAAAACAAAAATCAACTAAAGAGAAAAACGAAACTGGAGGAGAGATAGAGCTTCAGTCTGGTACTCAGAGTAATTTACTGATAGATTTAAATTGTCTCACATGTACTGATAAAAAAACTTCTGGAACAATAGGCCCATGAATTGTATGCGGGACACCTCAGCTAAAGCAGGTCACTCAGGTTGCTTTCACACAACAGTTTTGCTTTTATTGCCTGTATGAATGCAGAGGAATTCTCTTTGCAGTGCAGTGTCCACATGGGAGCTTTCTGCTTGCTGTCCTCCCACAGCCAGAATTTTTCCCCAGTGAACCATTAGAGGCCTTTTTGAGAGCTTTTATTTTTTAGATCAATAGTTGCTATAGCAGTGGGGAGATAATGGTGGGAGAATGGCACCTGTGTGGGCAGGACCTTTGCATGGCAAGCAAGACTATATGAGATAATATGCTTGGATTACGCTCTTTCCAAAAACATCAGAGCAAAGCTGGTTTGGGAAGGAGTGTACAAAGGACATTGCATGAATGCTCCAAAAAATAATAAAATAAAGCTCTGTAGTTTGGAAGGGAGGCCACGGTGACTCAGAGGTTAAGACTGGAAGGTCTGTAGTTCAGCAGTTCAAGACCCTAGTGCCTCATGATGGAGTGAGCTCCCGTCTCTGGCCCCAGCTCATGCCAACCTAGCAGTTTGAAAGCAAGAAATTGCAAGTAGATAAATAAGTACCGCTTTGGTGGGAAGGTAACAGCGTTCCGTGTACCTCAGTGTTTAGTCGTGCTGGCCACATGACCACGGAAACGTCTTCGGACACCGCTGGTTCTTCAGCTTGGAAATGGAGATGAGCAGCATCCCGTAGAGTCGGATTCGACTAGCTTTCGATCAAGGGAAACCTTTACCTTTAGTTTGGAAGACAAAGTGGAAAGAAACCATGTGGAAGCAGCCTCAGATGATCACCCCTGCATTTCTTCCCCCCATTACATGAAGCAAGAGCATAAGAGCACAGTGGTGATAACAGCTGTTTTTAAAGAGTAATTGAGAATTTTTTTCTTCACAGTTTGACTTGGTGATGCATGCTGCAAAGCTTGAGTACTTAAGGGCTTAGATCAGTCAGCATTTGAGTGTTGATGAGGACTGTTTTGTGGGCTTTGATCCAATATTACTTTAAGATGAACATAAGGTTTTGATATGTTGGTTGTTATTTCTTATTAAACATCAGTATTTGTTTAAGTGACAGGGTTTCAGTTGTGCATTAGTCATATACTAGTGTCTGTACAGGCTTCATGAAAACTATTGCTTGTTCACAGAGAATATACCATTAACCCTTTAAGACCAAACTTTTGCATGAGTACAGAGTTAAGTTGGTTCATGTGCTACATTTATGTATATTGAAATGGTCCTATAAGTAAGCACACATTCACAGCTAAGTAATCCTGTAATGGTTTTTTAAATGTGTTATCTGTTAAACAATAGCCAGTATTGACCTGTTTACATTTTGAAGGCATTGACCTTTCCCCCAAAGAACATGGAATCCTGGAGATAAGTGTTGACTGTGCTAGATCAATTTCACTGGTCAGTCTGTGCTGATAAGTTCAGCTAAAATGTCTGAGAATCTTTGAAGTAGTCTTTCCCAACCCTCCCCAACCATTACTGTTATCTCTGTGAGAAGAAAATCCGCAAATGTTACCCTTTCTCTTCAAAGGGGAGAGTGGGGTAAAGAACTAATGGGGCCCTAGCAAGTGAAGATGATTGAACTACAACTTAGTCTTGTATAAATTAGCTGAATATAATATGATTCTGAAACTTTTAAATGAATATTGTAAGGGAACTTACTGTGCAATTGAACTTAAGTGACCTATATGATAAAATGTTTGAAGTGTGAAAGAGTAATCCTATCTGCATTAATTGTGTTCTGAATGACAGATGAATTTATTTATTTATTTTTCATTTTTGTAGCCTGCCCTTCCTGCAAGCAGGCTCGGGGTGGGTAACAACATTTCAACAATACAATAAGTATAATTAAATTTTTAAAAACATAATAGTATACATTAAAATGGTGTCACAGCCCAAGAATAGAATTGGCTGGTTGTGGGAGATTCCCTGGCTGGTTGATAACGAATGAGTGATAGCCAGCTGTTAATAAGTGGGTGACACGAGACCTCAGGGAGGCCATAAATGGACGCCCGCTGCCTCAACCAAATGCCTGGTGGAACAGCTCTGTCTTACAGGCCCGGCAGAATTGAAGAAGATCCTGCAGGGCCTTGATCTCAATGGGGAGCATTTATAGTGCTGCCGACATTGTGTTATGTTCTACTCTTTCCTGAGAAGAGCGAGAAGGTTCTAGACAACTTTGTAGGCTCAGTTTGGAAGAGGGCACTACAGGATATTTTGTAGGCTTAGTTTGGAAGAGGGCACTACAGGATATTTTTAGAGTGTCTTTAGGTGCAAATATACAGGTAGGCAAGAGAGCAAGAAAGGAGGTACACAAATAAAGCTGTAGCCCCAAAACAAGAGCACCACGTGTGCTGCATCCAAATTGTTTCAGCCAGTGAGCTCCAAAAATTTAGAGCTTCATTCTCTTTCTGTGGCCAAATCAGACTGCTCTTTTACAGTGCAACCCTAAACAAGCATTAACAGTTTTCTAAGCCTGCTGACTTTAGTGGAATTAGAAGTGTGTAACTGTTTAGGATTGCACTGCAAGGTGCCCTACTCTGCTGAATGCATACAGATGACAAACAGCTAAATGGTCAGAGCCCATTCTCACACTTGGGCATGACTTTCTTACAAAAAGTTGACTTACAAAAGTTGACTTCTAAGAAGATAGGTATATAATACAAATCAAGAGTTTCAGCATAAAAATTTTTGATGTGAGGATGTGTATTGTATTCAGACATAAACATTCTAGAGGTAGAGCTGGAACATGAAGAACTTAGATACATGAATATGCATTTCTTGGAAGAGGAAGTAAAGTGATTTTAAGAAAATATGTAACTTTAGTTCTTTTGGGTGGGAAACATCAAACCAATCTGGGTTTTGAAAATTGTATGTGATATTGTATAGTTTTTTTACCATAAGCAGCAATATTTGTGTGATTTTTTTTAGTAATGAATACATTTATGAAAACTATAAGAAGGTAAATTGCAACAGCATGAATAAGATAGTTCTCTAACACTTTTTAAAGAAATAATTTTACAGAAGCCCTTTTAGACAAGTCCTTCAAACACCCAATAAAATTCAGTGACCAATAAGAGGAATCCAGATGTCATGCAG